CCAAAGGTGGTTCAGCATCAATTAATGTTGATTATATACATGTAAATGCATTACTTTGTACACTTGAAAATATTTTTATTGATGCTATATGGGCTATTGAAAGTATTGAAATGAAAAAAAAACGTGAAGTTTTACATGCATTAAATAAATTTTTTTGGATACAAAATGATTTTTTTACAATGCAATATGGAATATCATTAAAAGATAAACAAGTATCTCTTGTACCGAAAATTAATTTTTCGAGTTGTTTTTTTCGTTAAATTATTATTTAACTATCATGTTGTTTTTGTCTCTTTATTGTAAATAAAATAGTATAAGAAATAAATTATAATATATATACATATATCACTAATTAGTTTAGCGTTTTCTTAGTACATTAATTATTCATAAATACATGTTGTTTTCAATTTTGACAAAATTAACTTAGTTTAATGTGACCTTTTTATTGCATTAATATCCGTACAATTAACTGTTATATTGTTTAGAAAAAAAAGAAAAGAATGCCTGTCTGTCTGTCTGTCTGTCTCATTTTCTGCATCTGACAATATATATGTATAACTAATTATGAAATTGTATATAAAAAGATTATTTGATACTCTTATTTTCTATGCAGATAATCTCTTATCATATAAGAATTCAATTTTGCTTCTATGTATATACAAAGAAACAAAACAAAAAAAAAAAAAAGAATATAATTTTAAGTATAACAACAATTCTTATCCTATTGGAATAGACGTATCTTAAATTAATTAATACTGAAATACCGAAAGTTTTTATTTACATGCTATTTATGTATTTCGAACGGAATGTAATACTTATCTTATACGGAAGGATATACGCTCGAAAAAATATTCTCAAAAATAATTGATAATTCATTCTGGTCTGGATTACATAAGATCTAAATTTATACTATTCTGTATAATACTTTTGCACCAAATAATAATTTAAATATGAAAGTACATAAGCAACTTCGAATAAGAATAAAATAATGTATTTTTCTTCTTCTATCTCTAAAGCTGATTTTTTTTCTCGAGACGTTCATATACTGTTAGATCAATTAATGATGTTTTTATTAAGATCCGGTTAAAGGTTTTTACAGGTACAAAAAGGAAATTATGTTTAAAAATAAAAAATCTCATATAAAGTTTTTATATATCTTGAAGATAAAAAATAAATTATTAAACATAATATTAAATAATTTGAAAGAAGAAAAAATAATCTAATACAACAAAAAAATTTATAATAATATTAATTCGAAAAGTATCAATTTCTTTATAAAAGAAAGCATTGATCTAGGTATTTGACATTGTTAAAAACAAGATTTAAAAAAACAAAAAGGTCATATCTTGCATGTATGTTGTAAATGCTTGTTGCTGCTTTTTTTTTTCTTCTTTAAAATATACCCAGATGATTTCTTTGTCAGTTATTCTTATTTGGTTGACATGTACTAAGTTAGTTGATTCAATAATATTTTATCTATCAGCATCTGTCATATATCAATATTGCATTGGGAAATATTCTAAAGGCCATTTAGTCTTCAGTCTTGGATAGAATGTATTTTTATGTACTACGATATGCCATTGATATTACATAGATAAAGGTTATAAAAGAAAGACTTGGGAATAGTTTTAGAGAATTAATCCATAACAAAGTCAAAAACAAATCATTAGTTACACAAGGTCTTAAAATAAATTTTGACATTATTTTATGAACGCTATTTTTAATTATTTATCTTTAATTAATATGAACTTTGAAAAAATGTCAGTAAAATATTATCTAGTTCATTTATTTTATTAACATTATCATTATGTAGACGACGTCCTGGATAGTCACATTGATTCGAGAGTATTTTTTTTCTCAATATAATTACTGTTCATATATCTATCTTTAATAAGTAGATTTTACGCTCTGATTATTATTTTTATTATCGCAAAGAACTAAGTACCCAAATATAAATCCCAACCCTGTTGTCATAAGAAGTTCAATGCATAGAAATAGAATTGATAATTTAACAATGATATATATTGATCACATGAATAAAGTCGTTTCCTCAAAGACAATTCTTGATTTTTATTTAACTATTATTTGTCAAAGTAGTTCATAAGCAAGATTCAATGATGCATATCAAACCATCGGATTACACCATATATGCAAGCCTTTGCTTAATAACTTCCTTATTCTTTGTAGTGTTGATTGTTCCTTTTTCTTCTATAGAAATGACTCCTTCAATACATTGCTACTGTGTCTTCATGTCGCATGAATGAATCAACAGGCATTTCTCCGAGCGGAAATTCTAATGAAAAAGGCTACTAGATTGTATAGTTCTGATTGATGTGTTATATAGAATGATGCTGCATTAGAAATCATGCATAATAAAACGTCATCTTTCTCTCTAGAACGAGATGAAGCAGAGAGAGAGAGAGAGAGAGAAAGAAGAGAAAAAACAACGAGTAGAAACTGAGGACAAACTATTTAGTGTCAAAACATTTTTCTTTTTTTTGCTATGGCCGAACACATTGATACTAATCGACTTCATTTGGATCTTCGTTATCGCTTTGACTATTTATCGAAATTTCTTAATTTTAATTCGGATGATATAGCTATGCTTAATACATTTGCACCCATTGTTTTTCCACTTATACCAGTTCTATCAGATACTGTTTATAGAAAATTATTTTCATTTGATATAACAAAACAATATTTTCTTGTACGTAATGAAGGTTTTGAAGGCTTTATTCCTAAAAAGCAATGTGGAGTTACATTAGATTCAGCTCAAATGGAACTTCGAAAAGATATGTTAAGTATGTATTTAAAACGTATATTGACACAACGCGATTGGAATGATACATTTCTTCAATATTTATCACAAATTGGAAAAATTCATACAAATCAAGCTGGTTCAGCATCAATTAATGTTGATTATATGCATATAAATGCATTACTTGGATATTTAGAACATTTACTTATTGATGTTTTATGTAATACTGATACTATAGATGAAAAAACAAAGCGTGGAATTTTAATGGCAGTTAATAAACTTTTTTGGATACAAAATGATTTTTTTACAATGCATTATTTAATGTCAGTAAAAGATAGTGTAACATCAAGAAAACCATCAGAAACAACTAAAACAACAAAATGTTGTTGGATATAGGACCAAAAAAAGAAAAACAATCATTTATTTGAATGCATTTTTTTAAAATTATTTCATGTGTTGTGAATAAATAATGCAAATGGCAAGATAATAAGAACAATGTTCTTTTTATAAATTGTATAAATTTAATTTTTGTCGTCAAAAAAAAAAAATTTTTCATAGACAAACAATGAATGGTTTTTCATATGCTAATGAAACTAATGATTTAAAAAATCAGATGTAAGTGAAATAGAAAATTTCTCGAATATATGAATGATTATCTTTTTCTTTTCAATTACGATAACGACAACTTGTTTGATTAGATATATGATTTCTTTCGTTTTTTTTTTTTTTTGTTTGCAAATATTACAAATAATTATCCATTCTGAATGAACTTTATATGCATGAATGAAAAACATAGTTCTATAAAAGTAACAAAAGAAGTATGAAAAATGAGAAATTTTGAATTAGCAGACAACAGATAGAAAAACGAACAAGAACATGAAAATAGAAATATTATTGCTTGTGTCTGTGAACAAGAATTTTTCTTGAAACAAAGAAAAGAAGTTTTTCTTTTCAATTCCCTAGAGAGAACTAAATAAATCTATTTATACATTATTATTTATTTATTTACAACTTTTTGTCTTCAATCAAGAAAAAGACTTTGTTAAATAATCAAACTTTTTCTTGTCTATTATAATTTAATACTCAGAAGAAAAAAAATGATTAGAGCAACTTTGATAATTTGTAATGTTTATCATTGTACAGAAGTTTTCTTACAGTTTAAAAATATTAAAAAAGAATCGAGTCATATCTGTTTTTCCTACAATTTTTTTTCGATTTCCAGCTGAGATCGGAACTGCCGCGCAGTTTTTTAAGACATGACATTTTATCTCGTAAGGAAGTATTTGGCTATCTCGATTCATATTGTTAAGAAATAATAATAGACTATGCACTCTAATTTCTTAATTAATCATGTAAGTCATATTGTTAGAATTTTGATATTCATGATGTCTATTATGGAATACAAAAGCAATGAAAGATCAAAAATTGAAATACGAAATATACCAACATATTGATGCAATTAATCATAATTAATTTATTGATAAAAATGTTATTTGATTGTAACATAAGACATTGAATGAAATATTAACGATAGAAAAAACATCAGTTTCATTCATCGAGGTTTCTGTTGCCTATTTTCTAACTACAAAAATTATAAGAATGGAATAATATGCTTACACGTTTTTCTATAATAAATTTAGTCTTCAATTGTGTTCTTTAATTAAAGATTAGTGATAAAGATTTTTTTCTATCAATGATAGATTAGAATAGAAAGAAAAGTATTAGTGAGAAGAAAAGCTTTAGAACTTATGAGATAGTTGATTATCAACATAGAGAAGAGCATGATGACCATATTTTTATATAATTAAAGAAAATTGATAATTATATACTCAGGTACCGAGTATCATGGGGTGTTTCACATTTGTAAATGAATCCATTCCAAATATATTCTTCATCATTTGATACTAAAAAATGATAATATTTTTTTTTCTCTATATTAATACAAGATACGGAAACATGTTTATTCAAGAATCTACCACTGTGATTTCAAGAAAAATAAATAATAAGTTTCATATTAATCGAAAGGTCATTAAAAAAGAATTTTTTTTTATTCTAATTGATATTCGATTGGATAATATTGAATAAATTTGTTACCTTAATAATTTATCATCAACTAAAAAAACTTCCAAGAGTCAATTTGCTTTTCTGTTGGGATTTTGTGCATTTTATAAATCTTATTGAACTATGTCTACCATAAAAAGAGTTTATGTTTATGGTCGATACATGACGAGATCAAACGTTTTTTTTTTTGTCTTTTTACTACATGATCCCATATTTGCAGCAAAGTCTTATTTTTGAATTTTGACTACATTAGAATTGTAATCAGATTAGCTTGAATAAAAAAAAAGAAAGGTATAAGCTTCTCCGAGATACGAAGTTTTTAAAAAAAAAACATGTTGCATATATGATCTATAGAAAAGGGCCTATACTTTAAAAGCTTCATATTTCGGAAAGGTTTAGTTTGAAAAAATTCTGAAATTTTTTATGCAGGCTAATCTTATT